CGAACTGCAGAGTAACATGGGGAAAGAGTCTGCATCTGTAAAAGTCTCAAACAAAACTGCGAAAGTCCGAATATACAAAGCATCTTAACTTCCTTATAAATAATTTAATAGTGTTTACAAGGCCCCTACGCATTAAATTAATTTAAAATCAGTTTTATTGATAAAAAAAATTAAACGTGATTCATGGATTCTGAAAGGTCATAATAAAGTCCCCAGTTGCAAATTATACTCTGATAAAACATTAATTTCATAATAAATTCAAAGCAGATATTGTATACATTAATTCTCACACAAATCACAAAGAAATTGTTCTTCCTTATAGGAAGTTCATTTTCACGCCACAAGTCTTTACATGAATCATATTGGATCCAGTCTTCAGCTATAGGGTATTTGAATTCCATTCCGCAAGCAGGACGTGGCCCTATCGAATTTTCAGTGGCAACTAGTTTCTTATTATTTCTCTTTCCTCACTTATTGGTGGAGTTGCAAAGCTAATTCTTATTGGAATATCTGGGCTACTATTTCTCCATTTCAAGTGCAGTCTTGCGAGGTGACGATGTCAGTATGGTGGACATCTTTCCTCGCCGCGTTCGTTTTCTATTCAATCCTGTCTTTGGGATGGACGCTATGTCCGACGTAGACTAATGTAGTTTCCCGAAATTCCCTGAAATTTCACAATTGGAGAATCTCATTCTTTGGGGAGTGTTGTGGTCTTTCTCAGTGCAGATGACGATAGCTCCTACGAGTGATTTATGGTTTGATCAAATGACTGATGTACTTCAGAATCGTCTCCTTTTAATACCAACTCATCTGTCAGTGTACTTGTTGAAATGGTCTCTGGTCTGTGACCTGTGAAGGAAGTCTACCTCCTGAAATTTCAATTTGTCTATGCTATGGACCTCAAAAAGATTCAAAGCCTTCTCAGACGTACAATTCATGTACAATTTACCAAATTGTTCCGCTACCTGGAATTGGGAAATGACCGTTTCTGGATAAATTTCAACATGCAGTACAATTCTTTACAAGAGGGGCAGAAGTCCGCATCAGGACTCTTTTCCCTACATGAATGCGGACCGTTGCTTCAACTGTCAAAATAATATCTTTGGATTTGTTGGGCATGTATGATTTGCCTTCTGTCGGGCAAGTACGAACGTGTTTACCAGTGCATTGTGTAGGTCACATTTTACACATCCATACTCTTAATTGTAGATTTTACGTACTGTGGTACTGACAGCCTACACATATTTACCAATATCTTGCAAAATTGCATCAAGTAAGTTCAAATTATATCTAATCTCACAGTCGCAGCAGTATTTGCACGGGAACTACCAAA